GTGCTGGAGAAGAGTATTGAATGTACCATGGATTGCCAAGAAAACATATTCATCCTAGAGAAGGTTAAACCAGGCTACTCCTTGTAGGCAAGGATTCTGGGGCTTCGTCGACATACTTTGGACATGTTGTAAGGAGGGACAGGTCCTTGGAGAGGGACATCATGCTAGGGACAGCGCAGGAGGGGAAGACCCTCTGTGAGGTGGATTGATTCAGTGACTGGGGTAATCGGAATGGGAGTGTCAGAGGCAATACGATTGGCACAGGACAGAGCAGAGTTTAGGGCTGTTGTACATAGGGTCGCTATGAGTCGCAAACTACTCAACAGCACATAACAACAACAATAATAACTGATGATAATAATAATATGGTTGTCATATTAACCATTATTATTGACCTGACAAGTGTACTGTATGCTGGACAAATTATCTGAGAAGCTGGACTCCATGAGGAGGAATGTGGCATCAGGATTGGAGGGAGATTCATCAATAACCTGCGGTATGCAGATAATACAACCTTGCGTGCTGAAAGTGAGGGCTTGAAGTACTTGTTGCAGAAGATCAAGGAATGTAGCTTTTTGTATGGATTGTATCTCAATGTCAGGAAAACAAAGATTCTTATCACTGGAACAATAGGAAGCATCTTGATGGATGGATAGGAGACTGAGTCTGCCAACAACTTCATCTCACTTGGATCCACAATTAATACTCTTGGCACCAGCAGTAAGGAAATGAGATACATTGCACTGGGAAAATCTGCAGTTAGAGTCTTTTCCATATTATTGAGGAGTAATGATGTCAGTTTGAGGACTAAGGTGTGTCTGATTCAGGCCATAGTCTTTCTGATTACTAACTATGCATCTGAGACCTGGACAATGAATAAGGATGACAGAAAAAGACTGACGCCTTTGAGCTGTGGTGTTGGAAAAGAGCACTGAACATCCCATGCACAGCCAAGAGAATAAACAATTTTGGAGATGATGCAGCTACAGTGCTCTTTGGAGGCAAGAATGATGAGGCATATTGCTAGGAGGTGCTAATTCTTGGAGAAGGACATGGTCTTGGGAAGGGTGGAGATTTGGTGACGGAGAGGAAGACCCTCAACCAGGTGGATTAATACAGTGAATACTGCAATGGGCTCCTGTGTGTCATGAAGTGTGAGGATGGGACAGGACAGATCTTTTATTTATAGGATCACTATGAGTTGTGCTCGACTCAACAGCACCTAGCAAAAAGAACAACATATCTAATTATGTTATACAGATGTATACAAATGTATAACATCAGAAGATCTAGCATAAAAAATTGTTTTAATGAGCTGTAAAAAGAATTTTTAGAAAATTGTAATTCCTTTTTCTGTGTACCATATTAAACATCAAAGTAAACATTTTCCAATTTTTCTAAATGAAGGAATGAATATATATTGATACACAGATTGCTAGATAGAAATATATATATCTTTCCTAAAGATATATAAGTATAAAGGTAAGAAAGGTAGAAATCATTTTCCTACATTCAAGAAAATTTAGGATAGTCACGTCATTGTTGGGGTTTTTTTTGTTGTTAAGTGCCTTCGAGTCAAGTACCACTCATGGTAACCCTATGAACAATAGATCTGAATCTATTTTGTACAATCTTTATCATCCTCAATACATGACTTTATTGTCATTAAGCCCATTGACTCCATTGTATTACTCCATCTTATTGAGAAGAGCTTGGTTATTCCTATTGTTATTAAGCATTGCCAAGCCATATCTAACTCACAGTGCCCTTGGGCACGTGCGCGTGCGCACACACACACACACACACACACACACACACACACACCCCTCAGGCCTGTGTCTTCATCACAAATTTTGTTCTGAGCCAGTGTTGCAATCACTGTGTCCGTCCACCTCATTGAGAGGCTTCCTCTCCGTCACTAACTCTTAACTTGACCAGGCATGATGTCCGTGAGGAGGCATGCTTTCAGATCCTTCCTGATAACGCGCCTAAAGTACATGAGACAAAGTGGTGGCACCTTCACCTCTGTGGACTCTTCTGGCTGTACTTCTTCCCAGGCATACGTATTCTTTTTTTTGGCAATGGATAATATATTCAATATGCTTCTCCGCCACTGTAATTCAAATGCATCATTTTCCCTTTGATTTTCCTTATTCATTAAGCAACTTATTCTGGAATATGAGGCAACTCACAATATCATGGCTTGTTTAAGGTTACTCTTGGCCTTCAAGGTGACATGTTTGCTTTATAATGCTTTAAAGAAAAATTTTAACAGCATATTTATGATGCAAAATGCTATTTTATTTCTTGATTGTAGATCCAAATAAGCAAAATATTTGTCCACTTAGTCATCTTAAAGACATGTTATTCCATTCTTCCATTACACTTTTAGTATTTTTATTCCATTGTTCAAAATATTTAATATTAAAATATTTAAAGAAATTCTTTAATATTTAAAGAAATTCTTTATATGTAGAGATTATCTTTTGCCTCCTATTGTTTTAAAATTAACTTTATTCAATAACTCAAAAGAACCTAGAAGGCAGCATCTGCATTTTGTTAGAGAAAATACAGTATTCACCATTTTTTATAGCACTTCTCTACTTGTACCTGAAGTGTAAAAAGAAAAAAGCCCAGTCCTCTAGCTAACACTTACTCTCATCCCATTGGACTAGTTTTCAAATGGAAAAATCTTAAATTCAGGAAAAAATCATAAAGATTGAGAAAATACTTTTAAGAATAGAATTAAATCATTAGGGAAGAATTTTGCTGTTTTTCTTTAGCTGATAGTAATTTAGACAGATTTATACTCATTTTTCCAACAAAATTTTACTACTATGATGGTTGTCATCTATTGAAACTAGTCAATTATCACTTTTGTATCAATATTTTTAAAAACAAACTCCAAATTATTAACATATAATTTGTGTATCATGAAATTCACACATTATAAGTATTCAATTAAATTATTTTTAGCAAATTTGTAATATTGTGTAACAAGTTTCAGTACATTTTTATTACCTCTTTAAATTCTCTGTACTCAGTTTATCCCTGCTGCCATCACCAGTGATAGGCAATGATTGATTTTCTATTTTCTGCACATTCATTTGTTTTCAATTAATCTAGACATTCTCATAGAAATAAAATAATATAAAGCAGTCTTTTGTGTTTGTCTTCTACTATTTTGTAAAATGTTTTTGAGTTTTATCTGTTTAATATGCATCAGATTGTTTTTAAAACTGAAGGTTAAAATACAATACTTAATGTTCATTTGCAAATTACTATTTAACAAGACAGAAAATAAGCACCACCTATTCAAATTCACTTTGAAGCATGATGATTGTGCTATAGATCAGTGACACGTTATCGGTCAATTGATCTCTGTTGTTATTGTTGTACAACGTCACATCAGAAGTGACTCATAGCTGACCCTCCAGTGGGTTTTCAGAGGCATTAAATCATATGGAAGAAAAAAAATCACATGGAAGACAACTGCTCATCCTTTCCCCACAAAGCAGCTGGTGGATTCAAACCACGTGCTTTTGGAATTGCAGCGTAGTTTCTTACCAGTAGACCATCAGCTCCCTAACTGATCTCTAAGAATGATTTTTCCCCCCATTTTACTAATAACATTATTTTTAGCAAATGTACATAGGGTCGTTATGAGTTGCAAACAACTTGATGGCACATACAAAATCTTCTGTTTTGATCTCAGCTAACCATAGCAAAAAGCAGCAAAAAAAGTACTTTTGCTGTTAAGAGGACAAATCACATTCAGATTTGCAAGAACAATCTTCAACTTTCTTCTGAAAATCTAATTAAGCTTGTCCATCAAATAACTGGTTAACACTCAGTTTTTCTAAAAGCCAGTTTGAAAACAAAGTTTCCAGGTTACTATGAGATTATCACTATAAATCATCTAGACGTCACAGAACGTTCATGATGTATGTGAACTGTTGTACTTACAAATTATCCTCAAGTCTCCTCAAGGAATCCAAAACTAATGAATGGACACTATCTAAGGAGCAGGATCCGAAGTAATTCAGAGCTGGAATATATCTAATTTTCATAACCCAGTCATTATGTAGCTTCCTTTTAACACTGAGAAGGGGAGAAAAGGAGTTATGTTAGGCACACAAGTACATTCTGAATTTCTATGCACTCTTTTATTTTTACTTTAATCACAACTACAAACTACAGTAAAGGCTGAATGTATAACACTGTCTCATGTGTTGTTGTTATTGTGTACTGAGTCAGAACAAACCCAATGTTGATCCTCCAGGGGGTTTTCATAGGCTGTAAATTGCATGTAAATTGCCCAAATTCTCTTATGGACCAGTGGGTGGATTTGAACCACATCCTTTGGGTTGGCAGCACAACTCCTTACCATTAAGACACCAGAAGTCCCTCTCATATATTATACCATTTGTTTAATTGCTTGATTAAATGTTCATAAAATATAAGGACATTTAAAGGAAAATCAACTCTAAAAATTATGGTCAAATTTTACATTGTAGATTCATAACTAAAAGTATCATACAGAATGATGCTATTTGAATATTGGCAGTATGTGCTTTTCTTACCCATTGGCATCAAGCCAATGCCTATTCATGGCAATCCCATCTGGTTCCGAGTATAACTGCCTTCAGGAAGGGGTATGATGGGAGTGACCTAACAGTTCTAGGTCTTTCTTCTGTTACACCCCTTTGTGCACTGGACCCACTAACCTTTTAGTTAGCAGCCAGGTACAAACCATATGTATACTCAAGGACCATTATGTCACTGAAAAAAATTAGCCAAATGTAGGCTTATTTTACATTGTTTTCTATCTTATGAATGAAGTCATTCACATATTTTCAAAAATACAGAACTAGGAAATTTATGATCCCTGATTGTTTTTGAGAATGAAGCTAAAATAGCCATTTTGTGGCCAGTGAGTTGGACATCTGAATGGGAGGCTTGGGGTTAGGGGGCACTCGCTCTGCTTCAAAATTATTGTCTGAATCTGGAAGTAGCTATCTTCATGACTTTCATATTTACTCCTGGGTGCATTTATTCCCTTATCCATCAACATTTATTATTAATAAATAGTATCTAAGGCATCAAAGATATAAGGATAATAAAAATCATATTCTTATACCTAAAGAGCTTGGGTTCCAGCTGAAGAGACATGTTTACAATTCATTGCAGAGAAACTCTGCGATCCTTGAGGAGAGAAGGAATTCTTCCCACCCCCACCTATATGCTAGATTGCCTAGTTTGGAATTCTGGAATCTGATATCTCATTCTTTAATTTGTACAATGTTTTTCATATCAGTATTTGCTAACCACACTCCATCTATTTGACATGAATTAATTCTATTGACAGCTATGATAGTTTAATGGCTACTGAATTTGCCTTCCCCTTTGGTCTTAATACTTTTTTCTTACTAGAAAAAAATTCTTTTAATTCTGTCAGTTTTGATGATCTCTTGGTGTAAGACAATACCTAAATAGCAAGACTATATCTATAACTCCATGGGTTGCAGGCAACTTGATGGCACACAATATATTAAAAGCAATAACATATTACATAGGTTGTTTTTCACTCAAGTCAACAAGACCTTGTGGAGGTCCTTTGTATTTAAAAGTCAGTTGTTACTATATTTTGGAGGAACATTCTTCTAAGTGGTACAGCACTCTTCCTGTCAATTTGCTGTACTAAGGTAACATGGGATTGCTGTGATGCTGAACCTTGTGCCATCGGCTGTCAAATGCCATAATGGTTACTCATTGTGGACAGTGTTTGGTGAAGCTCCTAGTTTAAGACAGATTTGGAAGCAGGAGTGGCATCCACTTCTTAAACAACATGCCTGTGGAAACTATGAACTTTGAAATATGATGATAGTTATAGAAAAGCTTCAGGTCTTTTGTTCATAGAGTCGCTTTGAGTGGTGTTCAACTCAATGGCAAGCAACAACAAAAACATAGAGCATAGAGCAGCACATCAATATTAGGAAGGTCTCTCATTGGAGTCTAACACTTTGGTGAGACTTCACACATAAGTGTGCTTATGTGCAAAGGATGAGAAAAGAAGACAGTTTATACCATTGTAAGGTTCCAGTAAAGGGGTTAGTTAAGCTTAATTCCATTTCAAACAATTACAATGAGCTTTTAATTGCATATTCTAACAACAAGATGAAAATTTGCTATATTAATGACAAAGGACCCTACTGTATTTTTAAGGTGTTTATTATTATTTTTTAAATGATCATTTCAAGATTTAGAAAGAAGAAAAAGCATTTAAAAAATTATGTCAACGAAGTTCCATATGGAAGTATTCTTGTATATTTATTTATAGGCAGGGTTTTTAAAGTATAAACAGACACATCAGTAAAGCAGTCAGCCTTCTTTCTAGCTAACCCTGCTTGCAGTGCCAGTCACAGTAAACCAGCTCAGGAAATTTCAGCTTTCCTTCTCAGTCAGTTCAGTAAGATCAGGAGGTCCAGGCCCCTTGTTTTGTTAGTAGCTCATTGTGTTGAGTATTTGGACTCAGAGTCACCCTCCACTGGGTTTCTGAGACTGTAAAAATGGAAGAAGACTGCACATCTGTCTCCCTCAGAGCAGTCAGTGGATGCCGACTGAACTTTTCAGTTAACAGCACAAGACTCTATGCACTCTTCCACTAAAACTGTCCCAAATTGCTTATTAGGTCTGATAATTAGTTGCTATGACAACAGATGCAGCCCTAGATGCACTCACTGGGTTGTGCCAAGAAATCTGGATGATAACTGCCACCTGGCCAAATGATTGGATGAGATTCATATTTATTTCCATTCCAAAGAAAGGTGATCTGACAGAATGTGGAAATTATTGAAAAATACCAACATATTCAAACAATATCCTATTGAAGATTATGCAAAAACATTTGGAACAGTACATTGACAAAAAACTGCCAGATATGTAAGCTGGGTCTAGAAGAGGCGTTGGCACTAGGGATATTATAGCCAATGTCAGACAGATCTTAGCTGAAAGCAGAAAGTACCAGAGGAATGTCTGTCTTAACTATGCAAAGTCATTTGACTGTTTGGATCATGAAAAATTGTGGCTAACCTTGAACAGAATGGGAATCCCAGAATACTTTATTGTGCTTTTGCTAAACTATACTGGACTGGGAAGTCGTCATCAAAACAGAGCAAGGAAACATTGCATAGTTCAAAATCAGAAAATGTGTACATCAGAGATGCATCCTATCTCCATACCTTTTCAATCCATATGTAGAACAGTTCATTCAGGAGGCTGGATTTTATGAGGTGGAATGTGGCATCAGGTTTGAAGGAAGACTCATTAACAACATGCATTATGCAGATGACGCTATCCTGCTTGTGTAAACCAATGAGGACCTGAAATATTTGCTGCAGAAGGTCAAGAACTAGTCTGCAATATGGATTAAAGTTCAACATCAAGAAAGCAAAGCTTCTCAACACTATCCCAATTGGCAGCATCATGATAGACGGAGAAAAGACTGAGATTGTTAACAACTTCAGTTGGCTTAGCTCCACAAATACTCTTGGTACCAGCAATCAGGAGAACAAAACATGACAGTTTCGAGAACCAAGGTGAAGGACTAACACTTCCTAGGGAGTATAAGCCTATTTTTTATCCTTTTTCTTATACTTATCCTAGTTTGCTACTTTAAAAAGATTACCTGTTCTTGTCCAAAGTTTTTATTGTGTACACAGTCAAATTGATCAAACTTTTCTTTTAATTCTATTCTCACTTTTTAATGCTTAGAATTGTTTTTGTATATTTGAGCTCTAGTAAACTACTACATATATCATTTGTAGGTTTTGTATTATTTCATTTTTCATCTAACTCTTTAATCCACTAAAACACCTTAGAGGTTAACTGCTGGTAGCATTTAAAAGTGGAATTTCAGTCACAAATTTACCTGCCTTTCCTGTTCGACTGGTGGTTCTGTGAAGTATTTCTTGTTCAGCTTTGCATCTTATGAAATTTGACATGTTATTTTTCCTATATATGTAATTAATCTTAGATGATAAAAAATTAAGTTAATTAGACTATTCACACTAAGTACCTACCTTTTAAAGTGCTTTGAGTCCAAGATCTGATTTTGTAACTTTTTTTTGTTTTTTGCCTGCTTTAGTCCGAAGTCATCACTATTTATTGTGAATCTGTTCACAAATCCTCCATCATCCCCCAGGAGGATGTCATCCCGGCAGAGCTGGTCTGGCAAGGACACGACGCACACACACAGGAGGCAATGGTCCATCGGCTTTATGATAAAGTAATTCTCCTGCAAAGAAAATATTTAGTGAGCTAGTAACAGACTTTATCTAGTAAACATAAACCCTAATATGTGATACATTTTACTTTTCTTTTCTGATATTCCACAGTCATAAAAGAACTTGGAAAAAAATTAAGTTACTCAAATAAAACTTCATGAACTCTCATTGTGAGCCCAATGTTGGGTGTTTTGTTTTTATTTTATATTGGTTTATTTACAAAGTTTGTATAGATAGTTTTCACACCAGATCTTTGTGTAAGACAGGTAGGATATCTAAAGAGAACTGCTTCTTCTGCTTGGAGGGAAAAGGAAAGTCTGAGAAACAATACAACCTGGCAGCTTGTTTAGGCCTGGTTTTTCTTAGTTTGTTGGCATGAACAGTAAGGAGCTGAACAATTAATTGAACAACTGAGGTGCCACAGGGCACATAAACACAGCATGGATTGTTATGAGCAGTTTAAGTATAAGAAAAAGATATTAATTTTGCTGTAACACATATTATGAAATATCATAAGTTTGCTATTAATTAGCTGTAAAACAAATTATAAAATATGCTTGCCATGGAAAAATATTCTGATGAATTTAATTCTTAAGATATACTAATAGTTTAACATGCCTAAACAGGCCTGAGAGGCCTAGATCCCCACTGATCACAGGAGGTGCAAACCCTTGACAAAGGAATGTAACTGATAATAACTTTCCTGTAAAGCTACTGGCCTCAGACTGTGTGAATCCTGATAAGGGAATGTAACTTGTTACTGCCTGTGTTGCTAAGATTATGTAACTTGTAAATTTAAGAATAAGAACTATATTGGAAGTCTCCTGTGTTGCATATAAGAATAGTATATAGGAATCTGCTATGTTATGGTTAGAAATTATGTTAAGAACATTTGTGAAAATATACTGAACAGTTGATATGCACAACCATGCCATAACAGGCATCTAGAGGCTCCAGGGCCCCACTGACCACAACATGTGTGGACCTTTGATAAGGAGATATGACTGGTTACTGCCAGTGTTGCCAAGGAAACACAACTAGTATTGAACATGATAGGTCAGACCCATATTGTTATTCAACATGTCCCACTTGCCTCACCATAATGTAAAGTGGGGAAGACAGAGTAGATAAAACTCTGGCTGTGTCCAGCATCTCTCTCTCTCTGCACTTAACAATGAGCTGAAAACCGAAGATCCAAAGGCTCTTTTTTAGAGCCAAATCCCTAAAGACTCTTTTCAGAGCCAAGAACTCTGACCTACAATGATGGGCATGAGCTACTGAGACAGTGGAGGAGTCCGCCTACACTGACTAGCCGAGAACCCCCTGGTTACATTGAGCTGCTGAACTAGCCATGAACCTCCTGACTGCACCAATGACCATGAGAGGCAAAAGAAGGAGATGAGTTGGTATCCCAGGGTGAGTGAATGTTCCCCACTGCTGATGAATCCATATGTTGTGATGAATTTATTAATTGCAATGTAGATAAATTGCAATTAACTGTTTAATGCTTGCTATGAATTGAAGAATCAATATGTTGTGATGAATTTATTAATTGAATGTAGATAAATTACAATTAACTGTTTAATGCTTACTATGAATTGATGAATCAATATGTTGTAGTGAATTTATGAATTACAATGTAGATAAATTGCAATTTTTGCTATAAATTAATTAATTAATCAACAAATTGTAATTGGCTTTTGTAATATATCTACGAGTAATTAATTAAGGCTCAAGACTCATGAAACTAGACATCTGCTTTCCAAAGCCACAGCCTTGAACGTCTGTTCAGCACACACAGGCTTCAGTTCTATTCTAAACACATAGAACTACAATCCACTGGAGCTGACCTGATATAACTACCACCACCATCCTATCTCAGAAAAGATATAGAGCTTACAATTTAAACATAAAATAGAATAATATTTTTTCTAAGGTGAAAGGAAAAGTTTATTGAAAAAGATACATTTCAACATACAAAACACACCTCTCCCAGAAGCACAGGTGGGAATAGGCCTAAAAGAGGATACTATTTTAAAAAATTGTCGTGGTGGTTGTAAGTGCCATCTTTAAGACAATGGCAACACCATGTAAAACAGCTATGAACTTTGCCCTATCCTGAGCCTCTCTCACCATCTCAGATCTGCTCCAGGCCATTGTTATAGTCACTGGATAGATCTATCCCATTAAGGGTCTTCCTACAACCCTCTATTGTTCCCAGCACAGTGTTTTTCCAATGACCAGCCTCTCCTGTCAACATGCTGAAATTATATGAGGTGAAGTTTCACCATCTTTGCCACTCAGGAGCACCCTGGTTTTACTTTCTCCAAGACAGATTTATTTGTTCTTTTTTGCAGTTCATAGAATATTGTTGTTGTTGTTGTTGTGTTGTGTACTGTCAAATGGGAACTGACCAATAACTGACCTTCTAGCAGGTTTTCAGAGGTATTTAATAGATCAGGAAGAAATTGCCAATTGCCCATCCTTCTCCTGCCCATGGAATGTTGGTATTATGTGTTGTCGAGTTTCCTGTGACTCATAGTCATCCTATGTACAACAGCTCTGAACCCTGCCTTATCTTGAGCCAGTTTCACTGATTCTGACACATCTACCTCCATTGCTCCAGCTACTGTACTGATTCATCTCATCCAGGGTCTTCCTCTCTTGCGCTGTCCCTTCACCCTTGTGAACATGATGTCCTTCTCCAAGGATTGGTCTTTCCTGGTCACATGCCCAAAGAATGTGAGATGGAGCTTCAAGGAGAAACTTGGTTTCATCCTCTCCAAGACAGACCTATTTGTTTTCTTGGTGGTGGTCCATTCAAGATTCTTCTCTAGCATCACAACCCAAAGTAATCAATTCTTCTTCCATCATCCTTAGTTACTGGAATGTTGTTGTTGTTAGGTGCTGTTGAGTCAAGCACAACTCATAGCGACCCTATGAATAAAAGATCTGAACTCTGTTCTGTCTTGTGCCATCCTCATATTTCCTGACACACAAGAGCCCATTGCAGCAGTCACTGTATCAGTCCACCTGGTTGAGGATCTTCCTCTCCTTCACCAACCCTCCATCCTTCCTAGCATTATGTCCTTCTCCAAGGAATAGCACCTCCTAGCACATGTCCAATGTATGTGAGCAAAGTCTCAGCATTCTTGCCTCCAAAGAGCACTCCAGCAGCACCCTCTCCAAGGCATATCTGCTCATTCTCTTGGCCATCCATAGGATGTTTACTGTTCTTCTCCAACACACTGATCAAAGACATTAATTCCTTTTCTCACATCCTTATTCATTGTCCAGCTCTCAGATGCATAGGTAGTAATCACAAAGACCATGGCCTGAATCAGACTCATCTTAGTCTTCAAACTGACATCAGTACTTCTTAAAATTTTGGAAAGGTCCCTAATTGCAGATTTTTCTGGTGCAATACATTTCCTTATTTCCTGACTGCTGGTATCAATGGTATTAATTGTGGATCCAAGCAAAATGAAGCTGTTTACCATTTCAGTCTCCTCTCCATCCATCAAGATGCTGCCTATTGGTCCATTGACATTGAGATGCAATCCATACTGAAGGCTACATTCCTTGATCTTCTGCAACAAGTGCTTCAAATCTTCCTCACTTTTAATGAGGAAGGTTGTGTCATCTGCATAATGCAGGTTATTGATGAGTCTCCCTCTAATCCTGATACCACACTCCTCCTCATAGAGTCCAGCTTCTCAGATAATTTGTCCTGCATACAGATTGAATAGGTATATAAAGCGAATACAGTCCTGACATGCTTCCTTCCCAATTCTAAACCATCCAGTGTTCCCCAACTCTGTTTGCACATAGCCTCCTGGTCCAGGTATAGATTTCACATGAGCATAACTAAGTGTTCTGGGTTTCCCATTCTTCTGCATTTCAACCACAACTTGTCATGAATCTCACAGTCAAATGCCTTTGCATAATCAATAAAGCACCAATAGAAATAGACATTCTTCTGGTATTCTAAATCTTACCACTTTGTCACCCTCATTGAGCACAGGGACTTTATTGCAGAACTGCTTGCATTCTTCCTCAAGAGTATTTCCCTTCTCTCTAATAAGCTCTGTCTACCTGAATGACAGTACCTCTTCTCTTCTTGATTAGATTTGTCAAGGACTCTCAAGTATGAGGTGCCTATAATACCAGCAGCAGGATGACTTCTGTGATTTATAGCCACTATGAAGGGTCAATAAAGGGTTCAAGCCATCCATCTAGGACTAGAATTTCAAAGTAAAGCGATTTAAGGATCCATACAATGGAGTAAGAAAAAAGAAAATGAAAGAGCATGAACACTAGAAAAAAAAATGACTTCAAAGTACTACTGGTTTTTATGGGATTGAAAAGCAAGAACTGAAGCTCAAGAGAGCTGAAGGAGGAGAAGCTGTAGCCAGAGTATAAAAAATTGGAATTTAGGATTTCAGAAGTTAATAAAGCCTTCTCCAACCATATGAGACAGCAAGATACTATAAACAATTAAAAAAGCGTTTGTTGTGTATATGTGTGAGGTTTCACTAAAGCTGTTGTTGTTAGGTGCTGTTGAGTTGTTTACAACTCATAGAGCTCCTATGAACCTTGGCCTATCCTTCAACAAGATGGACAAAAATGGACTCATTGACTCTAGGTACATCTAAGACACAGAAGAATGTTAAATTATTCCTTAAATTCTATAACAAATATTTAGAGATCTCATCACCTCTCATTGAGCCCTTACTGTACTTCATGCTTTTCATGGTATAATTTATTGCAGAATTATATCTTGGAGAAGGCGAAAGCAAACTGCTCCTTGGAGGCAAGGATTTTGAAGCTCTGTCTCATATACTATGGGCATGTACACAAGAAGGCCCAGTCCTGGGAGAAAGACATCATGCTTGGAAGGGTCGAGGGACAGGGTAGGAGAGGAATACCCCAGATGAGATGTATTGCCGTAATAAGTAGGGTAATGAGGGTAGGTGTGTCAGAAACAGTGAGATTGGCTCAGGATTTGGAGCAGGGTTCAGAGCTATAGTACATAGGGTCCCTATGATTTACAGTAGACTCAATGGAACATAACAACAACAACAACATAGGATGTTGCGATTTTGTTTATCTTATTTAAAACTGCTTTTACATATCTGCAATTGCTCAATAAATATTGATTAAATCAATGATAGCATTTTTGCTGCATAAGATGTTTTCATCAATGCTATTATGTGCCTTCACATCAGAACTGGCTCATATTTGACCCTCCAATGGGTTTTCAAAAGCTGTAAATCACACAGATGGAAATAGCTTATCTTCCTCCTATGGAGAAGCTGGTAGATAGATTAAAACTGTCTGGCTGTAGGTTGTCACTCCTTAATATGTCATGTGTATACGTGTGTTTGCCAGAAATAGGGACCCAACTTTGGTACTTTTCTTATGAAATCAAGTTAAACTGGAGAGAAAGACTTTGAACTTGATAACATGAGCATAGCCAGAATTAGAATAGTTAGGATAATGGTTAATCTTGCATGTCAATAAGGTATAAGGTAATTGTCCTATGTGGTAGAAATTCTTTTTTTCCCCTTTTTTTCTTTACATCAACTTTTTAAAAATTATTATTAAATTTTATTAGTTTTAATGAACATTTACAGAGATTTGGGGTTCTCATTCATTCATTGTTGCACTGTTTTCTCTACCCTCCTCCCCAGTTCGTTCTTCTCCCCTTCCCCCCGAATGTCTGTTTTAATCGTCCAATTGCCACATTGCTTTTCAAAGCCAGTTCTGATTAATCTCCTTTGTCAGTGTGTCCTTTGCCATTCCCTATCACTCCTCCTTGAGAGAGACTTCACCCTGATTCATAAGGAAAAGGGGATGGTGTATTCTCTTAGCTACTTTCTGCTCAAAAGGGACGCTGTAGTTTCAGGGTGAAGATTTTCTCTCACTACTCTAAAGGGCCCCTTTGGCAGTAGGAAACACATAGACTATTACGGAGATTGATTTTGGAATTTAGATGCACTGTTATTAATTGTGCTTAGCCGTACATGTTCATATCCTTGAAGATGTATCATGGAGGTGTTGCAACCTAGAAGACACAAATTTAACTAACAAGTTAAAAGTACATGAGTCAAAAATTAAGAAGCAATAATATTCTGAGTAGAGGTTCTAGTAGTGGCACAAATCAAGTTACAGAGGGAAGGTGGTTCTTACAATAAAAGGCCTATAGACTAGCACTTTGTCTATTATAGTGTAGAGGCTAGGAACCACAAGATGTAGAGGCTCAGCTATGTCATTTATGCTTCTTAAGTCCTGGAGCAAATTCCATCTACCACTGGGCTGTTTTACAACTCGGAAGTTCACAAGCAAGGTAGAGGTGAAGTAAGGAACTGCTTATGAGGTTTTCCGTCCATTCCAACAACTAAGAGATAGTGGGAAGAGTTGGGTCCTCAGAAGGTTTTTAGGACCAATTAGTAGGCTCTGTGTTCAGGAGAAAAGGAATATACTTACCAGTAATGTTAATGCTCATCCACGGCTCTTCTGGGAGGATCTAAATCATTGAAGTGTTCTCCTTTGTTTCCAGCTGGGAGCTGGAGCCTGTCAGTCCTGTCTGCCACGAGGACCTGATGTGGGCCACCTTGGCCAAGTGTCCTTCAGAGCCACACGTAAAGCAAGTGAGTGGGTGCTTCCTTTCTACTCCCTTGCCTATCTGTGGCTCTTGTCTGTGACACTGTCTACTGAAGTGGCCCAGCTTTCCACAGTGGAATCAATTCTGACCTCCTTTATTACCTTTGGGTGGCACTGTATATGAGAAAGACTTCCTTTTCCTGACACAGGCCCTAAACTGGCAGCAATAGCTGCCCCAATAATTTTGCCCATTCTCTGGTCTTTTCTCTTCCTTCTAGATCCCAGTTGTTAAAAGAGGGAAAATTTTAAGCAAATGTATAACAAATAATTTTGAACATTATAATCTTTTAAGTTTACGGCTAGACGTATTAACAATATCATCATTTCCAATCCGGAGATATATGTTCCAATGCAGTACCTATTTTCTATAAATGGTTTTGGTAAGAGGAATGTTGTAAATGTGGATACATTTCCACTATTCCTCCTCCATACCACAACATAGTGTTATTAGCTTGAGCAGTTATAAATCCATTGCCATCCTTACTCTAACTTAATTCTTTTTTTTTCAAATTTAAATTTGTTATTAATTTCAGTGAAAATTTACAGAGGCTTTGGATTTCCACTCATTCATTGTTGTTGTGGTAGAAATTCTAACCTCTATGATATTAGTGAGGCTGGATTGGAGGTGGTTCTAGAAAGATATGAAGGAGCTCTGGTGGCATAGTCTATAGGGAGTTACACTGCCAAGCCAGAGCTCCACAAAAGAATAATGAATAAACTCCACTAATGGATTTTAAGATCCCAGAAACCCAGTGGATAATCAACTACAAGTCAGTTCTGACTCAATGGCAAGGTGAAAGAGAAAGGGGGAGTTGATCTGATTATAGGCAATAATCCTGGCATATAATCTTGGCAATAATTCTTGGCAATGTGGCTTGTGAATATATTTAGACTCTGGCAAAAAGCTAGAGAGCTTTTTTTTTGTCAAATCCTGTATTTGGCTATCTGGCTTGTGGTCCCCAGAACCAGTCCCCTTCCAGATTTTGGACTTGTCAGTCTCCAAGACAGCTGTCTTCAACTCTTGTCTCCAAATCCACCGTTGGACAAGTCAGCCTGTGAAGGCAGCAGACTTCAAAGTGGACAGCCTGAGATAGTGCCTGCCTGTAGACAACTAGACCCATTTGTCCCCCACCCCTAACTCCATCACCTCTGCTTCTCTTTTTGAGGTCTGACTGCAGACCTGGGGCTTGTCAGACTCTACAAGGATGTGAGCCATTTCCTTTACATCAATCTCTCTGTCTCTTTCTCATTCTCTACAGACATATATATGGAGCAAAGCTTAACTGGTTTTCTTCTGTAAAGAACTCAGTCTACAAGATAGTTGGACTCAGAAAAGATATAGGAAAAGAAAGGAATTAGATTGTTTTTCTTCTTAAAGAGAAACAGCCATTAACTAAGAATGCACTAAATGAAAAAATAATACTTTTCAGTTAGATTCATAAACTATTAATCCTGAATTTGATCTAAAAGTTGAATTTAACTCTCCAATGTCAGATGCAAAATAGCTAATTTTCTTTTAAAAAATTAATTTTTCAAATCCTACCAGTTTTGAAAAGAATATTTTACTTCTTTGAAATTTGCTCTTGGCTCAAGTACCTGGCTGTTCCCTTGTGCTTTATAATCCCAGACAATGATGGTCCTTTCTGTAGTGGCCACAATTCGCTTGAGTTGTGAGAGGTAGTCACATCCTGTGATCCAGGAGGTATCCTGGTAGAAAAACAGAGAATTAGTGTTTTTCATAGAATGTGTGTGATACGTGTGTGTTGGGGTGGTAATATAGTTCCTTCTATCACATGGTAATGGGTTACTAAATAGTAGGTTATTTACAGCCCCCATTTGTTTTATTAACTGAGAAGCCTCACAATGCATCCCCTTAGATGCCCTGAAGAACGATGGTTATCTTTTCCCCTCCCACTCTCAACTGGAGTCCCTTAGTAACCTCAACTGATGAATGATTTGGCTATTGCCTGGAGCAGCTTCCTGGTACAGTGTGACAGCCGGCAAAAAAAGCCTCACTGTGCACCATACACTTGTACAAGGAACAATCATCCTTCACGTGGTACACAGAAACTAGGCCTGAGGCGGATTCAGCATAGTCTCTGGCTCTTTTCCCATTGCTAACACTCTTAGCTGGAAAAGATCAAGATGCTCAAAACTAACCACTTTTCAAGCATTTCTCTGCAGTGAGTTTAACTCCAGAAAGCAAAACTTGGGCCTGCTTTGGTATTGCTCTGGCGTTAGTTTTATCCTTGTCTGTCCTAGTAAGCCTCCTGCCTGAAGCCATTCAGCTCCAGCTCTCTATGCTGACAAAGCTAACTCTCTGACAAGTGCCCGAAGGCCCTCAGCTTTCTGCCTCTGTGGGCCTGAGCCCACAAGCCTATCTGCACTGGTCTCCTGGTTCTGCCCTCTCCTGTCACTATTTTTCTAACAACCACTTGATGCTGCTCAGGTGTTGCTGTTCTCAGTCTGCCGAATTGAGAAGTAACAAAGAGAACTCAAGTTGAAAGCATGCACTGCACTCTGACCCTTCTCCTTTGAAGTTAGCAAGAGCCCCATTTTTCATTTTGGGATGGCTCATTTTGAGAATCATAAAATTGACCAATCTTCTCTATATGTCTTATTTGTATGCTTCCAGCCTAAAAGTGCTACTGGTCTTATTTAGATTGTTAGCAAGCTATGCAATCCCCTTGTTGACTCACAAATACCTTATATTTGCATAGTCCTTCCTAGAACGCTAGATTGTGCTTATGCAAAACCTATACTTGGACCAGGAGGCTGTTGTCAGGACAGAGCAAGGAAACACTGCATGGTTCAAAATTGGGAAGGGTGTGTGTCAGGGATATGTCCTATCTCCAGTTCTTTTCTATTTGTATGCAGAACAGATTATCCAGGAGGCTGGTCTCTATGAGAAGTGTGGCATCAGGTTTGGAGGTAGACTCATCAACAATCTGTGTTATGCAGATGACACAACCCTGCTTGCTGAAACAGAGGAGGACCTGAAGTGATGCAGAAGGTCAAGGATTGCAGCCTTCAGTATGGATTGAAGCTCAACATTAAGAAAACAAAGATTCTCAGCACTGGGCTGATGGGCAGCATCATGATAGATGGTGAAGAGATTGAGATTGTTGACAGCTTTAGTTTGTTTGGCTCTACACTCTTGGTACCAGCAGCCAGGAAATGAAAAGATGAATTGCATTGGAAAAATCCGCTGTCAGAGACCTCTCCAAAGTACTGAAGAACAACAATATCAGTCTGGAGACTAAGATGAGCCTCATACAGGCCATGGTCTTTTTAATTACTTACTATGCATCAGAGAACTGGACAATGAATGACTAGGGATGATAGAAGGAGAGTTGATGTCTTTGAGCTGTGGTGCTGGAGAAGAGTACTGAATAGACCACGGACTGCTAGAAGAACAAACAAGTTCGTCCTGGAGAGGGTGAAGGCAGGTTACTTCTTGGAGGCAAGGATTCTGAAGCTTTGTCTGACATACTTTGGACATGTTGCAAGGCAATATCAGTCCTCGGAGAGGGACATCATACTTGGGAAGGTGGAGAGACAGCACAGGAGAGGAAGATCCTCGATGAGATGGATTGATTCAGTCACTGGGGTAATAGAGAAAGGTGTGTAAGAGACAATAAATTGGCAAGGGATAGAGCAGAGTTTAGGGCTGTTGTACATATGGTTGCTATGAGTTGCAGATGACTCGATACCACATAACAACAACACTGGGCCAATAGGCAATATCAAGGTAGATGAAGAAAAGATTGAAATTGCCAACAATTTCATCTTACTTGGTTCCACAGTCAATACCCTTGGTACTAGCAGTAAAAAGATCAGGAGATGTATTATATTGGGAAAGTCTGCCATCAGGAACCTCTCCAAAGTTCTGAAGAACATTGATGTCAATTTAAAGATTGAAAGGCACCTGATTCAGCATATGATCTTTCCAGTCACCTGCTATATACCTGAGGGCTTGATAATGAATAAGGATGTCAGAAGAACTGATGCCTTTGAGTTGTAGTGCTGGAGGAGAATACTGAATATCCCATGGACTGCCAAAAGAACAAAAATGTATGTTTTGGAGAAGGTGCAGCCAGAGTGCTGCTTGGAGGTAAGGATGGTGAATCTTCGTCTCACAAAGTTTGGACATGTTCCTACGAGAGGCTATTCCTTGGAGAGTGACATTATGCTTGGAAATGTGGAGGGCTGGCAAAAGAGAGGAAGATCCTCAACAAGATGGACTGACCAAATGCTTGGACTCTAGATAGTGAGGATGACACAAGATAGCACAAGATTCAGATCTGTCATTTATAAGGTTGCAGTGAGTGTCTTGACAGCACTTAACAATGATCCAACCAAGAGGCAGCACTGATGGTGCAGTCTGCAGCAAATTGCACAGATAATCCTGAGGGTATACATCTCTGATTCTAAGGTAGTGAGCAAAACTCAGTCAAGTGGTGGAAGGTGTAAAGACCATGTGTTGTATAGCCATAGTAAGTAATCTGCTATACCGCACCCTCATTCTATGTCCTCTTCTGAATCTTTTCTGAAAGTTCTTTGTTGACATGCTGCTTTAAATTAGCAAACAAACACCATTTTGAATTATCTTCAATGAAATTTTACTTGCAAGTGCTATTAATGAATGAGATTTATCGTGCAATAGTGTCTACACTGTGTTGCATTATCTTTCTTTTGAAGGGATACAAAGTTGAATCTCTTCTAGGTAGCTACCTGTCTTCCAAATTTCTTGCCATAGATAAGTGATAACCTCCAGTGGTGCATCTGTTTTCTGAAACATCTCCACTGGTATTTATTTCATCAATCCTGCAGCTTTATTTTTCATTAATGCCTTCAGTACAACTTGAACTTCTTCCTTCAGTACCATTGGTTCTTGATCATATGTTACCTCCTGAAATGACTGAACATCAAATAACTCTTTTTTTGTACATTGACTATGTATTCTTTCCATCTTCTTTTGATGCTTTCTGCAACATTCAATTTTTCACCCAGAAAATCCCTCACTATTGCAACACAATGATTGAAGTTGTTCTTCAGTTCTTTCAACTTGAGAAATGCCAAGCATGCTTCTCTGTTTGGCTTTATAACTCTAGGTTTTGGAAAATTTAATGAATGATACTTTGTCTTCTTAAGGTGCCCTTTGAGGAGCCATTACCATAGCCCTAAGCTAATTAGGAATTAATTAGGAATTTTTAAAAATGCACTTACGGTAACAGTGGTGCTGGTCTGAACTCTCATCTAGGAAAAAAAGGAAGAGAATTACAAAACCTAGCTGTCAATGCAAAAATGAGAATGCAATTTCTAAAACAATACACTACTTATTTTTTAGTATCACTTGAAACCTTTACATGATTATCCTCATTTCCCACTCCCTGGAAACACCCAGTCATGCACTGTTTATTTGGCAAGGTTGTACCTCCATGAGTTGTCTTTTTAAGAACTGTTACCAATTATTCAATTTCTTTGACTTGCAAACTACCTCACACTCTTTTGTTATTCAGAACAATGTTTGGTAGGGAAAAAAATGGAAATGCAAAATGATATCAGGAGCTACTGCCACTGGAATTGGCCCAGAGCACCAGCATCACTGGTAGAGAGAAAATGAGAGAACAGAAGTAAGTGGAGGAATTAGTTGGAGGAAGAGGGAAGAGGGGTGCTGGAGGGACACGGTGAGGGAATGGAAGGAGTTGCTGGTGGGGTGGGGAAGAAGGATCGACCACCACACACACACACACACACACACACACACACACACACACACACCCCAAAGTAGAGGAAATGAACAACAAATCTGTTAGTTATGTAATAGGGAAAGGTTTTTCATCTGCTCTTTTGAGTAAATACTTGTCTATCAGATATTGGCCTAAAGCTGAGCATCCAAATTAAGACTGACTAGGAAGAAGGATTGGCCATCCATTTCTGAAATAACAAGCCTTCGAAAACCCTTTGAACAATAGAGCATATTCAGATTAGACTAGTAGATATGCATTGGAGGCTGAACCTTTGTACCAGGAATCACAAAGGAGGAAGAACAGTTGCAAACAGATACTGGTGACTGGAATGTGAAATGTGAGCAGTATGAATATTGAAAAGTTAGACATTGTTAAAGAAGAAATGGAACACATAAATATTGATGTTGGTAAGCTGAAATGCATTGGCATGGGATATGTTTTTTTTTAGCATGGGATATGTTGAATCAGACAATCATATTTGATCTACTAGATCAGAAATGTCAGGGACAAGAGCACTTAAAATAATGTTAAGTAGATCTCTATGCATATAGATTGAGGTAGAAAAAAATACAGATTGTTTTATTTGAAATTTAGTTGAATTTAGTGAAAGACATTCCATCCAGAGATATATGCTAATTGAGAATAATAGATGTGTTCCTTGTGGAGTTGTTGTTATGTACCATTGAGTCAGAATCAGTCTATAGCTGACCCTCTAGTGGGTTTTCAGAGATTTTAAGTTACATGGCAAGGGGTTACCTATATTTCTCCTGCAGAGTGGCTGGTGGATTCAAACCATCTGCCTTTTGGCTGCCAGTGCAGCTCCTTACCCACTAGGCCATCAGTGTTCCCTTCCTTACAGAGAGTTAGTATACATATAAGATGACATTTTATGACCTTGAGACATGGCAGTTAAGCATGGAAGTAATTAAGTAAATTAAGAAACTGACCCAGCTT